AATTTTGGAATAACACTAAATTTCAGCAAAGGATCAAGGCTAATTTCAAAAGAAGATGCAAAACATTTTGCTGTGCATGAATTAGCCTAGTTTGAAATTAAGAAAATAATTTTCATTTTCACCAATTTTCATTGGTGCTATATACAACATACCCTTGGCAAGAATTCTTTGGCCGAATTCTTATCTCTAGAGGTTGAGGGTATGAACCTCTAATGATTTAAAAATATTAAATAATTATAACATTTCCCAGAAAGAGAATGCTCATTTTCCTTCCCATCTCTCTAGTTAGTCTAAATTGGTAAGATTTTAATGGGTCACGGAATCTAAAATTATCTGTAAGCATTTACACTGAAATGTAATTATTCGAATTCATTTTCCTTCCCACGTTTAACCCATATATAATTTTACTAAATAGAAAAACAAGCACTAATGCTAAAATTATTTGTTCTCAAGTATTATTTTATTATACTTCAAACATTAGTTAAGAGAAAGTAGAGAAGAAAAATCATTACATACTAAGTTGTAGAGCTTTCTCCAAGCCTTCATAATAACACCAATTCTCTGCATTCCGATCAATCAAGTTTTTGAATACTTCACTGGCTTCTTTTAATCTTCCCAATTTCAACAATATTTCCCCTAAAATTAAGTTTAAAACCACATTTATTTTACTTAAACATTAAACACCTTTCTGATCCCAGAGATTTCACTAACGATTATTAGTGAATAGATGTTTATAAAAGACAAAACTGTATGTGCTTCCCCATGGGACATGTTGCAATTTATATAACTAAGCACAGATTAATTCACTGCTTGCCTTCAGAAATGAACATCTATTTGCACTTTCATTTTTGGCTCCCTCTCACACCCCAAATACATGCGTAGCATGTTAATTTGGTAGTAAAAAAACCTTTGCATTACACACGTTTTTATATTCTTTGAGATACCTAAGGACCATCCCCACCCACATGCACACAGCAAAATTAGATTGGTAAATAATTCTAATAAAATATTCCTACTTTCCTACTGAAAGATTTGAATGTCCCTTTCCTGATCAGTTCATACATTAAACAATTCTCCACTCAACTCTTAGTTTCCTTTAGAGGTCACTAAATTGGGGAATTTTAACTCAGTAAAATTATAACACTAAACACCGCTTCATAGCAGGAAGCCACAAAAGCCACATTCATGTACGGGTCAGCTCTAAGATACAAATCCTTTTATTATGCTAAGCCACACAAATTGAAAGTGAGTGTGGGAGACTGAGGACCTACACCTCTCAGATATAATGCAAAGCACACCTAATCCAAGATAAAGGGAAGATTCTCAAAAAAGAACATGCCTCAACTTCCTGTCCCCAAGATTTCCCATTCCCCAAAGAATCTATTTCAAACAAATAACCCTTTGAAATGTCTTCAGTTATACTATTTAAGCGCTTCCATCATGTTGGAGGAGGCAGTATATTATAGTGGTTTTATATACTATTATTTTACTATTTATTTATTATACATCACTCAAGCTCTAGCATAAGACTTAACTAAGTATAATTAATTACCAACGCTACCACTAACTAGCTTTATGACACTGAGCTAAAGTGGTTTGCACACTGCCTGAATACACATAAAAGTCTGCTATTTAAAACTATAAATATGCCCCATTCCTCCACAATTATTTTCAGGCCAGTCCAATTTTTACCCTGCTTATCCCAGATATAATAGACAACAGCATATTTTTCATTTCCAAAAACAGCTGCTAACAGATTACAACTGTTATCTGCTATCACCATGAAGCAAAGGTTATTACTAGAGGAATGCACAGGACAAATAAGTATATCTGTGTATTCATAAAAAAAGTGAAAACCTCTAATTTTATTTTTACAAGTTTGAAAAAAAAATCTTAATAAGTTAATGACTACAAGGCCAGGCACAGTGGCTCAAGCCTGTAGTCCTAGCTCTCTGGCAGGCAAGGCGGGAGGATCACTTGATGTCAGGAGTTCAAGACCAGCCTGAGCAAGAGCGAGACCCTGCCTCTACTAAAAAAAGAAAAAAATCAGCAGGCATGGTGGCGCCTGTAGTCCCAGCTACTTGGGAGGCTGAGGCAGGAGGATCACTTCAGCTCAAGAGTTTGATGTTGCTGTAAGTTAGTGTGACACACTCTAGCCCAGATGACAGACCAAGACTCTGTCTCCAAAAGAAAAAAGTTAATGACAAAAGAAATAAATGTGTTGACTATCAAAGGTCTCTGGGCATACAAAGTTCACTGGAAAAAAGTAATACCATAAGCTATCTCTGTAGGCAATATAGAACGCTGGCTATATATTCAAATTAATGGCCCCCAAATTACCTTCACTTAACAATATGAGGCAATTTGTAGAATTTTTTAACTAGAAATGATTTCACAATATATTTACTTTTTAATAACTACATTCCCTATTGATACTACAGGACAAATACAGAGAAAGAGAAACAACAAACTGAGAGGGTTGAGATTTCATGAGGAAATAGCTATACTATATCAGAAAGGAAAGGAAAACTAATTGCCTTTTTTTTTTTGCTCCCATCAACTGCAGGTAGTGGAACAGGAAAGAGACCAGAATACTTAATTATTTACTCACATTTTATCAATAGCTTGAAAAAGTGTTGTCATCAATATCGGTATTAATCTTAATCATAATAAAAACTAAATCAGTCAGGTGCTATACATTAACAAGAAAGTATAGTGGTTAAAAGTAAGGGGCTCATGAAAAGACATGGAGAAACTTAAATGCATATTACTAAGTGAAAGCAGCCAATCTGAAAAAGCCACATACTGTATGATTCCAACTACATGACATTTTAAAAATGGCAAAAACTATGGCGACAGTAAAAAGATCAGTGGTTGCCAGGGGTTGGGAGAAGGGAGGAGTGAACACAGAGGATTTTTGGGCAGTGAAACTACTCTGTATGATACTATAATGGTGGATACACATCATTATACGTTTGTCAAAACCCACAGAATGTGACAACGGGAGAGGCTGTGGGTGGACAGAGACTGGGATGTATGGGAACTCTCTGTACCTTTTGCTCAATTTTGCTGTGAAACTAAAACTGTTCTGAAAAATAAAGACTATGAAAAAAAAAGTAAGGCCTCTGAAGTCAGAAAGACGTGTTGATGTTTTTAAAAACTAACTCTTAAAAAGCTGGGTGACTTTGGCCTTAAACACTGTGAGCCTTCGTCTCCTCAACTGTAAGATGGGGATAATAAATAGAACCGATCTTAAAAGTGCTAAAAAATTAAATGAAATAAAGCAGTTTAAGCAATTACCATACTCTGAAACAGAAGAGTAAAAAAAAAAAAGTTAGCTATCATTTTGATTAAGCTTTAAAGGTCCTGCAACTGCATGAAACTTTAGTTCATAAACTATTATTTTAGCTGGACATTCAATTTAATACAATATTACTTAGGGAAAGGGTAATTGATGTGGAAGCTTTGTGAAAAATTTTGTTTCACCCTTTGTTGATGATGAACACTGTTAAAACTATTCATAGGATCCTGCCTTCATAATCAGCCCATACTGAAAAGAAATGACTCTTGCTTTTATGATGATCTCAGTATCATCAAATTACTGATCCCACTGTATTTAACCCATATATGTATATACAGAGATACATAGTTGATATGAAGGCAGTATAAGATGCTGCTTAAAAGGGAATGAAATCTGGAACCAAATCCAGCACTGCTTAGTTTACTAAGCTGTGTGATCTTGGACAAATCACTTAACCCCTCAGTTCCTCAGTTCCCCTCATCTCTAAAATGGATACAATTAAATCATAGAATTGTTATGAGGATTAAATTAATTAATAATGACTTAATAATAAAGTGCTTAGAACCTTGCCTGATACATGGCAAGTGTTACTTAAGCGTTAGGACAGAATAAAATCTGTAGCTTTTAATTGAGGTCATTAAAAAAGAAAAGGCAAATCAACTTACCTTTAATTTCTTCTACCAAAAGTTTATCACATATTTGTTTCTCGTATGTTTCTATATGTTCCAAAGATTCCTGAAATAGATCTGCCTCTCTCATCACTTGATTCTGGTATAGTAATAGTTCACTATATTCATAGTCTATTTTGTTGGTAGGAATCTGAAAAAAAATGACCAAATTACCTTATTTGTATAGTTACATAAAGCAATTACGAATCTTTAATTAAATTCCCTTCTTGGGAGAATCACTGACACAGACAAGAAAGCAACCCATACGTAGATACAAACAAAGAGTAACTAACTGCACCAAAGATTAAACACTCTTTAAAATATATTAAAGGACTGTACTTCTGTCTATAGCCAATAGCCAAGTGAATAGATCAGCAAATCCTACATCTAAGTTTAAAAATGGTTGAAATCCTAGGGAATCTACCAAAAAACTACCACAACTAATAAAGGAGTTTAGCAAGGTCACCGAATAAAAGATCAATAAACAAAAAAATCAATTACAGGCATACCTCAGAGATACTGAGGATTTGTTTCCAGACCACTGCAATAAAGCAAGTCACACAAATTTTTTTTGGTTTCCCAGTGCATATAAAAGCTATGTTTACATTATACTGTAGTCTATTAAGCACACAATAGCATTATGTCTAAAAAAAACAATGTTATAGGACACAGTAGCACACGCCTGTAGTCCCAGCTACTCCAGAGGCTGAGGCAGGAGGATTGCTTGAGCCCCGGAGTTCCAGGCTGTAGTGCACTATGATTGTACCTGTAAATAGCCACTGAGCTCTTGCGTGGGCAATAGCAAAACTCTCTCTCTTAAAAAAAAAAGAAAATTCCAAAACACCTAAATTTAACCATCAAAACGCGGTAACTTTGTGTTTAAAAGGAAGGTTTCTTGTCAAGTCCACCAAATGAGATATAGTACTCTCTTTTGGTTAGGACTTGACTGTTGGATAAAGACAAAGAACCAGTCTAATAAAGAATTTTAAGACTGGCTGCTTCAACTCAAGGAAAAAAAAAAAAGAATTCTCTAGTTTAAGGTAAAAAGCCAAGAATCTAAGTAAAGATGGGGGCCTTATCACAGTTTATTTCCTCCCTTATGAGAATAAACAAAAATAAGAGCAGATTAAACAATATATAAACCCATAAAAATAAACAGAACATACCATATAAGAGTCCAACAAAGTTCTGGAAGATGGAATGTAAATGAGGAATAAGTGAAGTAAGATGGATGAAGCCCAAGCCCAGACAGGATCAAGATTGTGAAACGACTGATAAACGGAGTGGGAACGAGACATGGGCTCAAGGTTGGGAGATTAACTGAAAGTCAGTATGTGACCCAACCCCACATCATCTCTATCAACTCTGCGGCCCAATGCACATGTAGAATAAATACCCTGTAACTAGGAACTCATCCCATCCAAAAAGTGGAGAGCTCCTCTCCAGAAACAGTAGCTAGCCCCAGAGAACTGGATGCTAACTAAAGGGAAAAAAAAAAGAAAAAAAGAAAAAAATGAAAAAAAGGAGGTATTTTAAAATTAAAAACATAACTGCAGATAAAAATTTTAGTGAAAGGATTAAAAGCAACTCATTCTTGCCTGTGGTGGTGGTGGTGGT